AAGTAAGTAAACACTTTATTGCAAGTGTAAGAATTAGATAATACAGAAAATTGCAAACAATAAAATAAAAGTACAAAAGCTGTACTAATTAAGAAATACAAACAAGTTGCAAACAATGAAATACAAGTACTAAGGTTGGAACTTAAATAGTGTAAACTTTATTCTACTTTATATACATATATAATTGCACTTATCAGCTCTTCCTATGCATCTAATTGGTTTGTCATAATTTTTCCTCTCCAAAATTAACGAAATGTACTCGATACCAAGTAGTATTGATACTTTTGATACGATACTTGGTATCGAATAGGTATCGATACTTTCAAAATATTCGGAACCCTACACTAACTGATGTTTGACATCAGTCATTTGTCAAATTTATTTTGTAATTGCGTGTTATTTACCAATTTGTATGAAAAGTTTAAAAAATATATCTCATGAACCGTAAGTTTCCGCAACCTAAAACTTTGCAAAACGCTTTCTTTTTAGTGAGTACTATTTACAAAAAAATATATGGGCTTTGAAATCGATGGTCCATATTGGAAATATTAGCCACTTGAGGACTAAGATAAGAATAATCACTACTAGTTTATTGTCATTTAGTTTTTTTTAGGAGTCAAACGAGCACACAGTCCACCTGATGGTAAGTGGTTGCTGTGGCCCATAGATATCTACATCTATCCTCGATTACAAATCGATATACAGATGCGTTGTCACCCGTGAGGACTGAGATGGAATGCCTCGTTTCCAGTAAAAAGGGTCTCCGGTTCTCTGCACTCATCATACAAAGCACATCAGCATTAAGCTGCTATTTCACGCTGGTATTCTGTGAGAGTGTGGTCCTTCCCCGGTCGAGCCGACCCATTCGTGCTATGACTATACTACTAATATAGCTGCAGCATAATATATAGTCTTCAACAGTGAAAGAAAATATACTGATCACTGTTGCCTTCAAGATTGAACACAAGTTGCTTGCAAACTACGAATATTAAGGCGGGCTGCCCCTAAGCTTCCACATACCTTTACTTCTTCCTTATTCTGTTAATTTATATTTTACTTTTTTATATCAATTTCACTTTGCAGGTGCCAAGCCATACAAGTGCAAAGTGTGCAACAAAGCTTTCAACTCGACGTATTCGCTCAATACCCACAAGCTAATACACGATGGTAAGTTATTAAACGAACAACTGGTCATTACAACCATCTAAAAAAAGTACTGAGCTAACTTCAAGTTGCGCATACAGAAGTTTAACTTTCAATATTAACAGTTTTCTTCAAAGACTAGTATTTTATTCGAATTAATATTTCTTTTTTAATTTTAACTCCGTGATAGTATTTTCTCCCTTATAGTAGAAGCAAGTAGTGGAAGCTATATATATTTGATGACTCCGTGGCGCAGTGGCTTAGCAATGAGTGGCTGCGCTGGGGATCGCGAGTTTGAATCCCGCAAATAAGGCCTACAAATAATTGTTTCGGGTCTGGATGTTTGTCCTTGTGCAATTTATGTTTGTAAACTGCCCCCACGATGCAGGAGAAAATCCTAGTGTAGGGGTAACGTTTTTTAAATTTATTTAAAAAAATTACGTTCTCTACTTTGAGGTTGCCTTTGGGAGCCCTGGACGTACTTTAACCCACGAGCTACTAGCAGTCACAGTACTTTTAACTATGAATATATAGAATACCCAGTGAATTGGGGCGTCTATTGACTACCACACATCATCTCATGGTTGTCCTTGGATGCGACAGAGGCAAGTGAAACGGGAGCTTGGCAGCGGCATTTTCCTGGTTTAAAAAAATTTAAATAAAAAAATTAATCCTACTGATTTACGTGCTAGTTAATGAACGAAAATCATCATAAGGAAACCTGCATCTCTATATAGTATAAAACAAAGTCGCTTACCGCTTTCTGTACACTTAGATCTTTTAAACTACGCAACGGATTTTGATACGGTTTTCATCAACAGACAGAATGATTCAAGAGAAAGGTTTATATGTACATTATATTACATATATACATACATTATTTCACCATCGCACATCGCGACAAAACTCGCGATACCATCCATTCCATCTAGATGTCTGGCGGTCCACCACTGTGCGATTTAAAGGAAGTTTTCTTTCTCGCACAACTTTACTGTGGAATCATCTACTTCAGGAGGTTTTTGCGGACCGATACGACTTAGGGCACCTTCGAAAAAAAGACCCTACTCCTTCTCTCCTCAAACTGCAACACCAACAACGCATCTGCAATTGTTGGTGGTGCAGTTGTTCATGGGCGGCGATAATCACTTACCATAAGGTGATCCGCATATGCATATTGTTACGCGCTCAAATCGACGATACACTAGCGCCATCTAGTGTCAGGAACGAGAGCGAGGGGAGCATTGAGAAAATGACATCACAAATTACTCAACCGACAGCGCCTAGTCGAAACTCGAACGCTCGGTACCTTGCGCGTGTTTACTTGAACATTCTGGATATTTCTTTGCTAATTTAAATATATAGGCGCTGCAAGATGCGATCGAGGCAGTGTTGATTTGGCGAGAAAAGCGAAGCGTCGGAGAGGAATAAAGTGAATTAGTGTGTTTAATTGTTAGTGTTTTTAACTTTAATTTGTGTAAAGTAAATTAAAGTGTTAATTTAGGTAATTTTATCGGCAATTTTTATTGTCACGAACCTCAAGCTCGTAACAATATATATATATATATACATGCATATGCGGATCACCTTATATGTATATATATATATATATATATATATATATATATATATATATATATATAGTATATACACACACACATGCATACTATAGTAGAGTTATATAAATAAAAATTAGTTGCCGCAAGTATGAAAGATCGTCACTTGAGCACGGTTAGACTGATTGATGATGAAATTTTTTGTGTGTTTGGGTTGGTCCGTACGTACGTCCCACTGCTGGGCACAAGCCTCCTCTCATTTATGAGATGGTATTAGGGCAAGGAAGTGTCCGCCACGCTGCCCCAATGCGTGTTGGTGAACTTCACATGTCTTCGAAATATTTTTTTTCTTGTTTCTCAGACATGCCGGTTTCCTCACGTTGTTTTCTTTCACCGCCGAGCACGTGGTAATTCAGTACTTAAAATTGCAATTAACAATTTCATTGGTGCCAGTGGGGATCGAACCCGGTTTGCTCGCGTACTGTGCTCGCTACTGTGTGTCGCTAGTGTCTGCTATAATTAAAATATAATCAGCCTCAGGTTAAACTGAGGTTTCCTCGATTTTCATTTATTAATAAAAGCATGTCAAAAGGCTACCTGACTTGTATGGTGGTGGTGTAAGAATATCCACTAGCCCATATCTTCTACTTCTATTCCGTTCACCTGTTACACCCTATTTTATTCCAAACGGTAAGAAACACATCCAGTATATTAGTTTACATACTATATAAAAAACATCATCATTCTCTAAACCATTTCCCATTATCTGGGGTCGGCGCAGTAAATCTTCTGGTTCCATTCCTCTCTATCAGCCGTCATTTCCATACTTACTCCTTTCATTCTCATATCACTCTTCACACAATCGATCCATCTTTTATTCGGCCTTCCTCTGCCCGTGTGTCCCTCCACATTCATATTCAACACTCGTTTTGTGACATGACTTTCATCCCTCCGCATCACATGCCCAAACCATGCCAATCTGCTTCCTCTCACCTTTTCTACCACTGGCGCTACTTTCAGGCTTCCTCTTATATACTCACTCCTTATCTTATCCATCCTTGTCACACCACACATCCATCGTAACATTCTCATTTCATTCGCATGCAGTCTATTTTCATCCTTCTTCTTGACGGCCCAGCATTCACTTCCATACATGAATCAGCATGCAATTCCATACATTCCATACTATTTAAAAAACCTTAAAAATAAAATGATAATTTTAAACATACCACAGTGGACCCCTGGTAATCTATCCCCTGTCTAATCTGGCACCCCCTGTAATCCGACATGTTCTGTTATTTATTATTGAATATTTTTTTTACAATCTTCGCTAATGCATGATTGAACAAGCTATAACTTGTTCGCACCACCACTATTGTGCTAGACACGTAAGGTCTTGTTTTGATTCTGATTGCTTAGTTTGAGATAACGACGTACGATTTGTACTACAGAGTACATAAAAAAGTAAAAAGTTACGGCCTGTATACGTCCCACTGCTGGGCTCAGGCCTCCGCTCATTTCTTATTGAGGGTTTAGGTGCAAGGAAGTTTAAGTCCGCCGCGCTGCCCAAATTCGTGTAACATGACGAACTTAACATGTCTTCGAAATATTTTTTTTTTCTTATGATCCTCAGACATGCAGGTTTCCTCACGATGTTTTCCTTCACCGCCGAGCAACGTGATAAAGCGCTCAGCGCTTACAATTGCCATTAACAACGTTTCATTGGTGCCGGCGGGGATCGAACCCGTTGTTACTCGCGTTCTGTTTATGACCATTTGAACAGAGTACATGTATGTAATTAATTTGTTAGATTACAAGGTACTCTTTTGTAACTTCTTTTGTAACACTGCCCTACAGAATGTTTGTAGGATTGCCGGGGGTCCACTGTATATCTTTTTATCTTATTTTCTCGACGTCTTCTTTATATTGCTATGAAAACAACTAAGAAAGCATGCACTGTACTTGTAATTCTGTAATAATGATGATGACAATAATTTCTTTAAAATCTTTATTAAAACTCAAAATAATTCACATGGAGATTTTTTTAAATAAGTAATTTTGTATTATAAAATAAGGATGCCTTACCGGATTAAGCCTGGAGGAGGATTGCCTTATACACTCCTATATTAAATATTAGGGCTCCGAATACAAGCCTTATAGCCAATCCTTTTAGCTTTAAAATACTATATTTTCTATAGTTAGTTAGGCTTTAGTAGTAAAATTGTAAAGTTGTAAAATATTTGTTATAATGGTAAAGTTGGCAACCCTATCCTAGAGTGCCTCTCTAAACACCTATACTGATATTTAGTAAACTATGATACGCGACAAATAATCCTCATCCGGTGTGTCAGGGAAACAGTCCTCCGGTTTCACGCACTGGCCTGCATTCTCCACGAACCTGCGGGAGATATGTTATATAAACGATTTAAATTAAGGTATCTATTATACATACGGGAAGATTTTTTTTACCGTCTGGAAAAAATAAGATGTAACAGGTGAACGGATAGAAGCATATGGCACTAATATTTTACAATTTTTTTGCTTATACATTAAGTAAAGTAAAAGTAAAGTTACAGCCTATATACGTCCCACTGCTGGGCACAGGCCTCCCCTCATTTCTGAGAGGGTTTTAGGGCAAGGAAGTGTCCGCCGCGCTGCCCCAATGCGTGTTGACGAACTTCACATGTCTTCGAAATATTTTTTTCTTATTCCTCAGACATGCAGGTTTCCTCACGATGTTTTCCTTGACCGCCGAGCACGTGGTAAATCAGCACTTAAAATTGCAATTAACAATTTCAGTGGTGCCGGCGAGGATCGAACCAGGGTTACTCGCGTTCTGTTATATTTACAGCGAGCGTTAACCATCTGAGCTACCACGGCTCAACATTAATATAAAATTATATTGAACTATCAGTAAATATTCAGAGCCTTAGCCGCTACGGCTCGCACGAATTTGCTACGGCGGGCGGGGGGCTGCTCTCCCTCCGCGGCTATGGCTTTATAAAAAAACTCTAGGGGTAGGGCAGACAAGACCACGTGGAGTCGGGATGTGCTGATGCGGTTTGAGAACAGCAAAACCAATCATAGTTCAGGTTGCCTTAAACTCTGCTATGATAGTAGTAAATGAAACAATGTAATGTGAATTGTTGTAATTTTGTTTTCTGTAAAACTTCTTGACCGCTCTCCACTGCGACACAATTTGTTGTATATAAGTCCCGTCATCAGTCACAAATGGTTTGTCTGGGTTTGAGTGATAAACTTTTTATGGGTTAAAAAACGAAATTGACATATTTGCGTTTCGTTATATGCAATTTTTTGTGAAATTTATTTTTATCGTTATTAATTCAAAAGGCATTTCCGATATCCGCAAACAGTGTAAAAGGTACAAGCTTCACCCTGACAAACCTTTTAAATTGAGAATAAAATTAAAAAATCAAGTAACGGACGTCTATTTCGTAATACTAGACCAAATTGACATATTTGCGTTTCGTTATAAGCATTTTTTAGGGAAATATATTTTTATCATTTATAACATTTTAGACATCTAAAAACACTAATAGGTTTAAGCTTAACCCTAACAAGCCTCATAAACTAAAAACATTATTAAAATCAAGCATCGTACGCCTATAGCCAACCCCAAGCTTGCATGGAATCAAGTTCATTTCCTTTGTGTGTGTCTGTTCGTCACAGCATCCATTTACCATTGGGTGGTTGTTTCTTTTGTTCTTGTTTGTTACACTTATTCTATAGAAAAGTAAAATACAGCTCGCTTAATATACATACCTAAAACTTTAATGAATTATAGTCGAATTAATCGAGAAACAGCCTATATTACGTCCCACTGCTGGGCACAGGCCTCCTACTCATTTCTGAGAGGGTTTTAGGGCAAGGAACTGTCCGCCGCGCTGCCCCAATGCGTGTTGGCGAACTTCACATATCTTCGAAATATTTTTTTTGTTATATCTCTGACATGCAGGTTTCCTCACGATGTTTTTCTTCACCGCCGAGCACGTTGTAAATCAGCACTTAAAATTGCAATTTAACAATTTCATTGGTGCCGGCGGGGATCGAACCCGGTTTGCTCACGTACTGTGAAATTTACAGCGAGCGCTAACCATCTGAGCTACCACGGCTAGTATACAGGTTATTTTACAATATACGTCCAAATTTGCAGAGAAGGTTCAGAATAAGTATTATAGAAGAACGCTCAAGAAAATATAATTAAAAAATTCTCTAACATTCTGTCCTTTTTATCCTTTAAATTTGGAATGCGTGGTGATGCAATATTTTAACGGATTGCCTTTCATCATTATCTAACGCCTATTATTTTACTACGCACACACATTCGTAAGGTTCGCTCGGTCGGTAAAAACGTGAATTGAAATCTCACACAGAGGAGCGCGCTTACGCATAGTTGTTGCCCATAAATCACATTCTATTTGGGATAGTTTCAAATAAAATTAGAAGCCTTATTTACTCATATTTTCAAAAACTGCAATAACGGTATATCGTCTTAATTAATTTTAATATATATATTATCGTGTCACGTTGTTTGTCCGCGATGAACTCTTAAACTACTTAACCGATTTTAATCAAATTTGCACACCGTGTGCCATTTAGTCCAACTTGAGAGATAGGATAGTTTTTTGCCCATGATTAACTCACAATTTTTTTTAGAATTTAAGGATTTTTAATAGGACATGACCAATTGTAGTCGAAAAAGGCAGAACATCGTCTGCCTGGCAAGCTAGTAATATATATAAATTACGTGTCACGTTGTTTGTCCGCGATGGACTCCTAAACTACTTAACCGATTTTAATCAAATTTACAAACCGTGTGCAGTTTGGTCCAACTTGAGAGATAGGATAGTTTTTTTGCTCATGAGTGACCCACAATTTTTTTTGCGAATTTAAGGATTTTTAATAGAACATGACAAATTGTCGTCGAAAAGGGCAGAACAACGTCTGCCTGGCAAGCTAGTTATTTATATATTTGAATTTAAATATAAATTTTGGGTATATTTTGTAATACTTACCCCGGTCTACAAAAACATCCGGGTACAGAAATGGACAGACAATGGCGTGGCTTCAGCACGATGGTCGTATCCCGGCGCCTGTGCAGCTTGTGCACATTCATCTCGTTCTTCAAGTAGCTCAACAACTTGCCCACATCGAATACGTTGTTGCGGAGATCAATGTTTTCTCCAAACACCTTCTCAAGCACCAACTGAAAGAGTCGTTCCGTAAAATTTAACAACTAGTTAACTACTACGATCAGATTTTCATGGGTTTTAATTATTTTTTGCGCAGAACCCTAAAAACTTTCTGAAATAAAAGTTTTACGTGATAGAGCCATGCTGCAGGTATATTAGTAGTATTGTTGCGCGCCACAGTTGATGGCACTAGCGCCATCTATTATCGAACAGAGTAACTAAGCTTTCCAGATAACTCCACACTCGAATTTTCTACATCTAGTCGGTCGGGACCGGTATTTGCTGGAACATTCTATATGCTTCGGTTGAAAAGGCCTATATAAAGCCGTTATGGGTCGTGACTGGGGCAGTATTGAATTGGCGACACAAGCGAATACTTCGAAGCGAAATAAAGTGAACTAAAGTGTTAAGTGTGATTAATTATTAGTGAGTTTTGAGTTTTAATTGGTGTCTGTAATTAAAGTGTGAATTTTGGTAGTTCAATCGGCAGTTTTTACTATCACGAACCATAAGCTTGTAACAGTATAGTTGTATCACGAATGGGTAGGTGCGACCAAGGAAGGACCACGCTCTCACAGTTCACAACAGTGTAAAATAGCAGCTCAACGCAGCTGTGTTTCGTATGGTGAGCGTAGAGCACCGGAGATTCAATTTACTGGAAATGAGGCATTCCATGTTAGTCCTCACGGGTGACAACGCATCTGCATTTTGATTCTTAATCGAGGATGGATGTAGATGTCTATGGGCGACAGCATCCACTTACTATCATGTGGACTGTGTGCTCGTTTGTTACTATTATCCTTCAAAAAAGCCTAAGTTACTCCTTATAACCTCAGCTATCTCCCAGTGAAAGCCCCGCCAAAATCTACAAACAGACAGACAGGCAAAAATTAAAAAAAAATGTTTTTGTTGTTGTTATAAGTATCTACCACATACACATTTATATGTATTTAGTATCAAGATTTTATTTTGAAATTTCAGACACTTCAATTTTATTTCTTTCTTTTGTATTTCTTTATAAATTAATGTAATAATAATAATAATCTTTATTGACATAAAATTTGTTACAATATTTTTTAAGCCTCCGACTCCCGAGCTAGGTTAGAAAACCTGTGTTACGAGAGTCAGCGATCTCCCTAATATAATGACGGCTACTTATTTTATGTAAATAAAGCAATTTTAAAATCTGTGTGTGCGTGTGTGTATGTGTGTGTGCATGTGCGTGTATGTATGTGTGCATGTGCGTGTATGTATGTGCGTGCGTGCGTGCGTGCGTGCGTGGGTGCGTGGTCGTGCGTGCGTGTGTGTGTGTTTGCTTGCGGCTGGGTGCGTGTATGGGCAAGTGTGTGTGAGTGCGCGTGAGTGTGCGTGCGTTTGCATGTGTTCGTGTGTATTTTCACTTTTCTACTAGTTAAGGGATAATATATATTTGTTAACTTATTAATTTTGTTGTATAAATATATAGCTTTATATGCATGTTGCCGTCTAGCAGAGGCTGTTCGACATGTTATTGATATTATTTCAAAAGTATCTGTTTTGCTCACCCTACCTAACTGGTTTGAATTGACGGGTATGTCGTCACAATATGGCGCCAGACTAGCCCTATTATTATTTGAATAGCAAAGTAACGATAGTTTTCACTGTGAAAAGTAGGAGAGTCGCATACCTCAACCATATCTTCGGTGAACTTGAACGACGTCAGCGCGTATCGATTCATTGTTCTTGTCAGTGTCCTTATGAAATCTTCTCCGTACCCGTTTCTTCTGTTCCCTTTGATGCAATTTTTTGCCATTTTCTTTATCAAAACATAAGGCTGTTTGTTTTTAAACCAATCGCAAGTATCTTCAACCGCCATTTGTAAATCTTTGCTATTTCCCGCCATTTTTGTAAATGGATTCATAGTGTATTTTCGAATGTTTATAGGTTTGGAAGTGTGTGTTTTGATGTGATATGTGTGTTTTTGGTTAATAGATACTTTATGTGATGTTTTCGGAACAACATTTTCAAATTTTTTGTTGTACTCAAATAAGGAAACGCCATTTTGATTAGGCGCCATTTTGCGATAAGTTTCCCTACTTGTATCATCAATTTTGTTATCTATAATGTTTCTGAAGTATTTATCTTTTTTTACTTGCATATTAAGCTTATAATTAATTTTTTCTCGCGCCTTTTTCATTGAGGATGTATATTTTGATACACCGTCTTTATGATATGGTTCCGTTCGAGCTGATCTACCAACTTCCACACCATCATCTTCCTCTGAACTTTGGCTAAGCAAGAGTTTGCTTACGTAGCTTCCATTTAGTTTTTTTCTATGCCCCTGGTTAATTTCTAACAGTTTTCTGTAGTCAATCATTTTTAATCTGAAAAAGAGTTCTTTTTTTTTATAAAAATATGTCAAACGAGCAGATACACTGGTGGTAAGTGGATGCTATGGCATGAAGACACGTCTACTCTTCGATTAAGAATCGAAATACAAATGCGTAGTTAGTTACCTACAAAAACTAAAATGGAATTCCTTGTTACCAGTGAAAGGATTCTCTCTGGTTTTGTCTCGCACAATACGACATTTGTATTTTACACGTGTATTCTGTGCGAGCGTGGTCCTTCCCCGGTCGAGCTGATCCATTCGATGCAGCGTTACTCTATCCACGTAATTTTTTTATATAGAATAAGGACGGCAAACGAGCACACAGTCCGCCTGATGATCACATCCAGCCCCGATTAAGAATAAAAATGCAGATGCGTAGGATGGAATGCCCTTGTTTCCAGTAAAAAGGGGTCTCCGGTTCTCTACACTTACCATACGAAACAGCATCATTATGCTGCTATTTGACGCTGGTATTCTGTAAGAGCGTGGTCTTTCCCCGGTCGAGCCGACTCAATCGTGCTTCAACAGTTGTATATGAGCCACATAGCCATAGTGTTTTCTTTATGTGTGGGAGATTACAGTCATTGCTCAAAAACATAAAAAACATACTGTTCAATCGCATTGATGATATTCTGGCACATCACTGGGCAAGAGTAGCCGAGTGGAATCCATGGCGACGCGTGTGAATCTTGACAGTACACTCTGCCTTCTGAAATTTATGTTTAATATTTTTGTATAAAATACGGGTGAAAAACGGGCATACCGTTCACCTGATCGTAAGTGTATGCTGTGGACGATAGTTATCTACATCTATCCTTGATTCTGCAAAGTCAAAGTTAGTAAAAAGACTCTGGTTCTCCACACACGTGATTCTACCCAGGAGGAGCGGATGAGCGGACCTACAGCTACAAACATAATATAGATGCAGCATGGCTCTCCGATGTAAAGAATTAGATTTGCTTGATTTAATTTGTGGTGGCAAACAACCACCACCATCATCACCATCACCGACACCATCATCATTATTTATTACATCCCTTAACAAGTCCATTGCTAAACATAGGCCTCCCCCAAGGAATGCCACAAAGCATGGTCCTGAGTCACCACACTGGATGCACCATTGACTTCCTGCATATCTTAAGTCGCAATACCTGCGTAAACTAGTTGCTTAATGATGCTGTGTTTCGTACGGTTAGTGTGGAGAACCGGAGACCCTTTGAACTGGAAACGAGGCATACCATCTTAGTCCTCAGGCGTGACAACACTTCTGAATTTTGATCCCTAATTGAGGATAGAGGTCTATGGGCCACGGAGTCCACTTGCCATCACGTGGACTGTGTGTTAGTTTGTCACCCTAATTCTAAAGAAAAAGTTGCTAAGACATGAGCCTGGCTAAAAAAAGTACTTACCTGTAAGTCGTAATATAAGATTGAAAATTAACACTAACACCATTCGATACGAAACCATTTTGAGCTTATCTGTTTCAACAATAAGTAGGTACATTACTAACTTGACTTGTAATTTTCAGCTGCGATTGTAGTCCAATGTATATTGTTATTGCCGTGCGTCTGTCCGTCCGGTATATAAATCGTAAATTTTATTTGCAAGAATCACGGTTTAAAAAGATCTTACAATTTATCGACTGCACTCGTGTTTCACTAACAATGGTAAATAACATGCAAATACAGAATCAACGATATTAATTAATTACAATCTAAAAAAATCTTTTACGTTATAATAACATTCGGTTTTTAATCAATTAAACAAATGTTTCTTAAATAACCTTTCGCTTAATAATTTAAATTCATTAGGTAGTTTATTAAATATTTTTATACACATATTTAGGCAACTTATGTTGTATTTTGAATCTAGGAATAACATCTAGAAATAGTTTTTCTGGGTTACGTCTGTAACGGGGATATATATATATATATATATATATATATATATATATATATATATATATATATATATATATATATATATCATGCGCTTTAATATTAATAACATAATAACAGTCACTTATTTATTAAGACAAACACGCCAATTCCATAAATGACGCGAGGGGTAATACACCAAGTCTCTTTAAACCTTAAATACTGGTTTACAGGAAATATCTGGCGACATCCCGCACATTGCACGAATACATTTTTTTTGGGCAACGAATGCCCTATTTCGGTCAATATTATTACCCTATATTATAATTCCATAGCGTAGAATAGACAACGTGTGCGTGGTACGTTGCAATTGCCGTTTTAATATTTGTGATGTTTTTAACGAGTTTAAGGGCATATACAAATATATTGATTCTACATTACACTTTATTTTTCTTATATTAAAAATACGTTACCCTCACATAAGGATTTTCTCCTGTATCGTGGAGATAGTTTACATTCATAAATTGCACGGGGACACATTTAGACCCGGAACAAATTTTTCTCCATACAAATAATTGTTCCGTGCGTGATTCGAATTTGCGGCCATCAGCTCCGCAACTATATGCTAAGCCATTGGGCCACGGAGCCGTAACTAAATAAAAATCGTTATTAATTAGTGATCGACCGAAGATTCGGTTTCGACAAGCTTAGGCAAAAAAATCTAGTTTCGGTAATAGTTTCGGTTTTGACAAAAAATCTGCCGAACTTTCGGCGTCGCCGAAACTCAGTGTTCGTGTATCTTACGTTGTTCGGATGACCGACCGAAGATTCTGGTTTCAGTTTCGGCAAAAAAATTTCTTTAACTGTTTTCTTTAAGTTTTCTTTTACAGTTCAGGCAATACTTCTATGGAACGCCTTGCCCGTTGATATAATAAAGCATCGAATAAGTACACGTTTAAAAAACTAGTCCAGCAACACTATCTTGAGGAAACTCCATTTGAGCATTCTATTTCTATCTTTATATTTATTTAAAATATGTACGTGTATATTTATACATATACACATATATATGTACATGTATGTATATGTACGTGTATATTTACACATATGTTTATATATATATATATATATATATATATATATATATATATGTGTGTATTTGTGTTTATATACCTATATTCATAATTTATTTATTATTTTATTTTCTATATGTATATTAGTATGTATGCATGTATATTTATTTACAATATATGTCTATTCATTTTAATATTTTTAGTACCTACCAACTATTACATGTCGAATTCTCCCAGGGTTGACTGGTAGAGAATGCCATAAGGCATTATGGAGACACCGCAAAAAAATGCACCTCCTTTCATCCAATAGTATAAAACTATGACACCACTAACGAAAGTGTGAAATTTTGATATAGGGAAATTCATGTCTTTATCTTGAATTTGATTGTTCAAAAACACGATTGTATAATTTTGACTCGATCATAATTATTTGCGAAAACACCTCTAAAAAATCACTGTAGTTGAAATTACAACGAAATTACTTATCTATATGCTTGGGAATCACTCAAATATATTCATAACATCAATATTCATAATTTACTTGCTCATTATTTTGATAACTTAAATCAATAATTTTATAAAAAATATTTTAAGATTCTGACAATTTCTAAGCGGTTTTATTCGTCGCGGGCGATACGCAATTTTAGACCTTATGACGACATTTTTTCAAGTTTTTATAGAAATTATTATTCACTCGAATCAGTACGGCGATAGCCTGGATTCACTATTTCGATGTGTCGTCTTAAATCCGCCGAGTAACACTTAGATTAAGGTGTAAAACAATAAAGATTAAATAAATTAATTAAAAAAATCTAGTTTCGAATTCGGCAAAAAATCTGCCGCATCTTAGGCGACGCCGAAACTCAGTGTTCGTGTATTCGTTGTTCGGATGTCTTGCGTTGTTCGGATGACCGACCGAAGATACGGTTTCGATTTCGGCAAGTTTCGGCAAAAATCTAGTTTCCGTAATAGTTTCGCTTTCGTGTTCTTCGTGTTCGTGTGTCTTTCATAATTTAACTGTTGAAATTATATTTTATATATGGGTTAAATCTACTTTTATAGCGTTATGCTTTTGAGGCACTGTAGAATTATTTCCAATTGAAGCGACAGTAGCCTAATGGCAGGACGCGGATCGCGAACAAAGGTCGTGGGTTCGTTTGCTCTAACTTTTCAACAGTAGTGGTTAAAAGGAATATTAGTAATGTTAATTAATAAGATTACTAATATTTTTATTTAAAAAAAATATAGCAAATAGAAAGCTTCATAAAATGTTTTTGGAATCTAACAATGAAAGATTACATTAGTACATTTCAGTTTCTCTAAAATAAGTCCAAATAGTAGATCTTCTGTCACAATTTTCACTTAGAATAATATACACAACGAAATACTTTTTTTTCCACAAAAATAGTCAAAACATAAGCATATACCGATAATTTGCTCAGTACTAGATGATGCGATAACATGTCAGGTGTAGTGGGGAAGCGAGGGGCACGGTCCGGCGCTAAATCCGCGCGCTTTTCGGTAACAAATTTCGACATAAATTGATTAGGTATGTAGGTTATCCTGCCGAATAATGTTGACCCGAATATTCGTATTCGGTGAAATCCATATTCGGCCCATCTCTAATACATATGGTGTTTAATTTTTCGATAAACTATCTCTTAACACTGATCTCAGAAGTACACATGTGTCAATCGTGAATGATTCTTTCTTTTGACCCGGCTCGTTTTGGTGATTGCAATAACACGACCACGATCGACATTATCGAGTGGGTCTGACAGATCACTGAATACTGAAACTCGAGATGATCACTCTAAATGTCTCGGTTCGTAAGACGAATCAGTAGTTAAATGATTGGATCACTATAACTAAATGAATAACACATGTCTACTCAGTAGTTGTTGTCAAAGCGTAAACTGTAACCGTTGTTGTTGACGACGTTACAAAAACCTTTGGTTCCCGTTAAGTGCGTTATCAAAGTCAGTAATCAAACTTATAAAAATAACTACGTCGGAAAATTCGACCATAAAAAATTGATTTAAATTTAATTTTTTTTACTTGAAACTCGAACCACAGGGTTTTTGTTACATGTTGTGTTTTTTTAATCTGTCAAGTCGATACTGGAGTCAAAAGTAGCATTCACTAGTTCTAAATTAACCGAAACAAATGGCGGTCATTAAATATGTCTTACACAAATATTGCCTAATGCGTAAATTTGTGTGAAATGAAACGACTAAAAACAATTTTCTAACTGTATTGTGAAATCTTGGCGTTTTAAAATTGTTTTTCTTATTTAAAATGCTAATTGGAAATTAAAAATTTATTTTCATATAATGTCCTCCAGACCGAATTTCAGTCACGGCGGCTTGCCTCAACGGAGACTAGCCATCGGCGCAGGACAGTTTTCACTCTCTATTCACTCTCTATTCCTTTACTCTCATAATCCGATGGGACGGTAAACCGACACGACCGGAGAGAGATCAGGCGCAGGACCGGCGGCTTTACGTGCTTTCCGAGGCACGGGGGTGAGACACCGCCAACTTCCTGACTCCAGACAACTACTGAGAATTTCTTGACGGAAAAATTCAATAATCGATTTTTCGGGCCGACCCGAGATTCGAACCCAGGACCGCACTACTGGAACCACTAGACCAACGTGGTGGTAATTTTATATAGTCGTAAATTGAGCGTGTCGTACCGTGGGTGCCGTAAGAGCTGATAGAGGGAAACAAACCAGCAGATGGGCAGCAGCATCTTCTTAATGACGACTAAAATTAAAAAAAACCTGCGATTGCCACTATAGCCACTTCCTTGCTCTAAAACTCTCTCAGAAATAAGGGGTGGCCTGTGCCCAGCAATAGGACGTATGTAGGCTGTAACCTTAGCCTTTTTATTAGGGATTACTCAAAAACTACTAGTCAGAACTTGATCAAATTTATATGGGACCACATGAAAAGCACTAGATTTCAAATAAAAAAAGAAAAAAATCTTTATTACAACTCGCGGCACGTAACTCTAGTGCTGAACGAAAAGTGGAGGGTATAGCTGCGAATATCTAATTCTAAAGCTAGCAAAGGTTCTAAAGGTTCAAAAAAAATTGTGATATCGGTAAAGTTTAATGCCAAATACATGTGGTAATCTAAAAATTAGTGTACTATAATTAGTTACGTGTCAACAGTGTTAGGTCTTTTTGTAGCCTATTGATTTAAAAAATAAACTTTTTATTTAACATTTTTATTATTATTTCTCACGACAACAACCCCAAAATACCGATATTTTCAAATTTTCTCCAGATATTTTGGTCTTTCGATCTGGCATTTCTATACACAGCAGCATTAATCTGCTATTTCATGCTGGTATCCTGTGAGAGCGCGGTGCTGCCGCGGTCGAGCCGAGCCATTCGTGCCGCACCAGCAGCGTGGCTTTACCGCGTTCACGCGACTTTAAAAAACTTGTTTATGTTGCAGACCTGAAGCCCTTCCAATGCTCCATGTGCGATTACGCATGTCGAGACAGCTCCACGCTCAGGAAACACCAGGACAGACACCTGGGGAAGTATAAAGCGTACCCGTGCAAGATTTGCGATAAAGTGTAAGTTTTGACTGGGTTAACTTAAAGTTACAGCCTATACACGTCCCACTGCTGGGCACAGGCCTCCCCTCATTTCTGAGAGGGTTTTAGGGCAAGGAAGTGTCCGCCGCGCTGCCCCAATGCGTGTTGGCGAACTTCACATGTCTTCGGAATATTTTTTCTTTTTCTCTTATTCCTCAGACATGCAGGTTTCCTCACGATGTTTTCCTTCACCCCCGAGCACGTGGTAAATCAGCACTTAAAATTGCAATTAACAATTTCATTGTTGCCGGCGGGGATCGAACCCGGGTTACTCGCGTTCTGTTATATTTACAGCGAGCGTTAACCATCTGAGCTACCACGGCTCGACAGGGTCACTAAAAAGCGTGGTAAGTTAACCCTTAACTTGGCAAACTTTATGATGTCATTATTTTCATATTTCTGTCATATTTTTGGGTTGATATATGCTAAAAGGACAACTAAAAAATAAATAAAAAAATCTGATATATTTAGTTTTGTTTTTATACCATGTATCTAATAATGCACACCCCCAAGTAGCCAGACATTCATCTTTGAATATACATGTGCACTATAGGATACATTACTGGGTAGGTAGTAAATAAAAATATATATTTTTTATAGAATAATTAACGTATTTACTGTTTTAAACATGTAATATCTATATAAAAATATTTAAAAACACCGTCTTCGACTTATAGTAGATACAAAACTTCAACTTCTTTATTATAATTATCACTACAGTCACAGTTATCACATACTTATAAATTATTACAAAAATAAAAATTATAAAGCTTAATAATATAACAACATTATTAAATAATGCAATCTCATAATTTATGAGATCAATCAATATATTTAAACATAAAAGACACATGAAAATAAAAAAAATGCTGGTGATTACTACTATTTGCTTAATGCAAAAGCAGATACTTTTCTTTCACTAGAAGTAATATGCGAAAAAGCTCCGCAGCCTCGTTTTTTCAAAAATTTATCAAAAGGTAGCTTTTTGACTCCTCTACGAAAATGATTTGGTCTCACTGTTCCCAAGGAAAATATCCCGTACTCATTTCTCAGGTGATAAACTAATTCTATAGAGGTAAAAAAATATCAAAATAAACCACTTTACAAGCAGCCTCTTTTATTGTCTTGCAACGCTATGACAACCTTAGCTTCCAATCCCATACTGTTTTCTTCCCCATAAAGCAAAAAATCATACACCATTCCAGATATTTCTGCTCTAACGAATATTATAAATTACCATTTTCGTGGCTTATTTTTGATGTACTCTTTGCGGGTACCAGATCTGGTACCTTTATACGGGACCATCATTTCGTCCACACTGAATCAGTCTTCCTCTTCAGTATTTATTCAATTTTGGCGTTTTTTTTTCTAACAGAGGTCTTAATTTGTAATTATGATCCCCATCGTTGCCTAAAGCGCCCACAAAATGCAAATTATGCCGGATCATAATGATTTCTTATATTTACGCGAACACTACACATTGAAATAATACTAATTTTTACGGAATTTATCGCGTATATTTAACTTTTTTACCCGACGTTTCGAGAGCTTTACAGCACCCATAGTCACGGGAAGGACTGAGATGTTCAACGTCCAGCTGTCATAGTTAACCGCGGTTACCATAGATTAAAATTTAACTGTTCCGATCTACACAGTATGAACTTATGGTATCATGGAGTCTTGCAGTTGTATGCTTGGGTTGGGATTTAATTTTATTTATTATAGGATCCCAAGCAGATGGTAGCACCCAGCCATCTTCTCTATTGAAATTAGGATGTTTTTTGATTTCAATAGCCTCGCGAATCATCCTTGGAAGGAATCGGTGTTCTTTAGCGAGGATTTGTGGTCTATCAAATCTGATGTAGTGACGGGGGCGATCCTGTACATGTTCACAGACTGCAGACTTCCCGGAGCGTCGATTCTTCACATCAGCTATATGTTCTTTGACGCGGGTTTTAATTGATCTTTTAGTTTGTCCTATGTAGGAGAGACCACATTCACAATCAAGCTTGTACACTCCTGCATCTTGCAGAGGGACGTTACACTTGACTGATGGTAAAAACTGACCAATCTTCTTCGGCGGCTTGAAGTATGTTTTGATGGAAGCGCGCTTCAAGATGTAGCCAATCTTGTCAGTGACTCCTCTAACATATGGCAGTACAGCAGGTACACGCTCGACTGTGGCCGGCTTCACTCGTTCTCTGTGACGTAGGCGCGGGACCCGAAGCTTGTTGTCATGCAAAACTTGCTTGACATGTTGGAGCTCGGCAGCCAGGTGTTTACTGTCACAGATCCCTCGTGCTCTCTGAAACAAAGATTTACCCACGGTAGCTAACTGTGAAGGATGGTGGTGAGAATCACCGTTTAAATATCTATCTGTATGGGTCTTTTTTCTATACACAGTATGGCTCAAGGTGTTATCAGGATTCCGAATTACTAACACATCTAGAAAAGCTAAGGAATTGTTTGCCTCTAACTCCATTGTGAACTGAATTTTAGTATTTATAGAGTTAAGATGGTCTAAAAATGCAGTTACTTTATCTAAAGGTAGAATTGTGAAAGTGTCGTCTACGTACCGCTTGTAGAATCTTGGATTTATGGGAGAAGTAAGCAGGGCTTTCTCCTCAAAGTCTTCCATGAATATGTCGGCGACAATGGGAGATACAGGTGAGCCCATCGCCACACCATCTACTTGCTTGTAGAACTCCTCCTTCCACAATAGGTAGCCAGATGTAAGGCAGTGTCTGAGTAATACTGCATATTCTACGGGCATGTTGTTTTCTTCCAGCCTTCTAGTTACAATTGAGATGCAGTCTTCAACAGGTAAGCATGTAAACAATGACTGCACATCAAAACTGACCATAGTTTCATTGTCTGCCAGACGTAGGTCTTTAATCTCGCTGACAAATTGGTAGGAATCCTTTATGTGTGCTCTTGTATGTCCCCTGAGCGGTGAGAGTATTTTCGCTAAGTGTTGAGCCAATCTGTAAGTTGGTGAATCGATTTGGCTCACTATGGGGCGTAATGGAGCATTGGGCTTGTGTATTTTTGGTAACCCATACAACTTTGGTGATTTGGCGCACGTAGGTATTATCCATTTTACGTCCAGATTTAATTTTTCGGAGTGTTTCTTTATGAGGTCACTAGTTGTTTTTAGTTTGCTGTTTGTTGGGTCGTTTTTAACCTTTTTATAAGTACTTACATCCGACAAAAGTTCTTGTATTTTAGAATTATAATCTGACGTATCCATGACCACCGTGGCGTTTCCCTTATCTGCGCGGAGAATCGTAAGTTCTGGTTTATTGCGTAGGTTCTTTAACGCTATAGATTCGTCTCTGGGAAGATTCGGTTTAGGCACTGAACATCGACGTAACATAGACGAAATGTCTTGACGTATCGCCTCCAAATCTTCTTTCCGCATATTGTTTTTAAATAAACAGTCCTCGACACTACAGATAATTTCTTCGTACGGTAATCTGCTTGGAGTTATAGCGTAATTTAGTCCTTTGGATAACACCTTTATTGTTGCATCATCCAGTGTTTGTTTTGACAGATTATAGAGCGCGATTAATCTATGATCTGTGTTTGTCAATGGTTGCTTTTGGTTCTGGCATTGATTCGGATGTTTGACATTTGATTTGGCCGTTAATTTTTGATATTTTTCTATATGTTTGTTTTTGCATTCGTTATATTTACTAATTTCGCGTTTATTTAATGTTTCCATGCAAAAGTTATAATCAAACGTCGTTAAAACTTTCTTTAATTCACTGGATGATATGTCTATGGATTTATTTATGTCATATAGATCGGAGCGTTTTTGTTGGATTACCGCCCGTAACTTATGGTATCATGGAGTCTTGCAGTTGTATGCTTGGGTTGGGATTTAATTTTATTTATTATAGGATCCCAAGCAGATGGTAGCACCCAGCCATCTTCTCTATTGAAATTAGGATGTTTTTTGATTTCAATAGCCTCGCAAATCATCCTTGGAAGGAATCGGTGTTCTTTAGCGAGGATTTGTGAATAAAATGGATTTGTGAAATCTGATGTAGTGACGGGGGCGATCCTGTACATGATACCATAAGTTCATACTGTGTAGATCGGAACAGTTAAATTTTAATCTATGGTAACCGCGGTTAACTATGACAGCTGGACGTTGAACATCTCAGTCCTTCCCGTGACCATGGGTGCTGTAAAGCTCTCGAAACGTCGGGTAAAAAAGTTAAATATACGCGATAAATTCCGTAAAAATTAGTATTATTTCAATGTGTAGTGTTCGCGTAAATATAAGAAATCATTATGTAAACCAGTACGGACTGGTAATTGCAAATAAAATACGCCGATTAGAAGATCTAAAGACTAAGCGCGCAAGATATCTAACAGCCTTAAATTTCTTGAAGAGATGCCGAGACCATAATCTCATTCCTACGTGTGTCAAAATATCCACCAAAAAGGACATTCGAGGAAGCGCTAAGATCTTAAATCAGGCAAGTAAAAAGTTGTTACGGGCGGTAATCCAACAAAAACGCTCCGATCTATATGACATAAATAAATCCATAGACATATCATCCAGTGAATTAAAGAAAGTTTTAACGACGTTTGATTATAACTTTTGCATGGAAACATTAAATAAACGCGAAATTAGTAAATATAACGAATGCAAAAACAAACATATAGAAAAATATCAAAAATTAACGAAAAAGTCAAATGTCAAACATCTGAATCAATGCCAGAACCAAAAGCAACCACTGACAAACACAGATCATAGATTAATCGCGCTCTATAATCTGTCAAAACAAACACTGGATGATGCAACAATAAAGGTGTTATCCAAAGGACTAAATTACGCTATAACTCCAAGCAGATTACCGTACGAAGAAATTATCTGTAGTGTCGAGGACTGTTTATTTAAAAACAATATGCGGAAAGAAGATTTGGAGGCGATACGTCAAGACATTTCGTCTATGTTACGTCGATGT